GCAATATATGCATGCTTTCAAAAAGACCATTACTGCAGCTCACCAAGATACACGCTGACTATATGTAAGCCAGAAATCATAGTTTAAGGGAAAATTAGGAAAAACAAAAACATAACAAGCCTGGGGGCTGACCCTGAGCCAGGCCAGTCAGTTTGCAAAAGTGAGCCTCCTCGAGGTCTTTGTAGTTGGTGCAGTTACACACCTGAAGTCTCTTGAGGCAGCAACGGAAGCCTGAAGGACTCTGTATTTCCACCTTGAAGCCGAGAGAAAGTGGGCTGAACTGGCTGCAGTACGATCAAGTTCAGACACACCCGCCCGGCTCAGGGAAGTCTGAGTCCAGCTCAGTGATGTGGGGAAAGAGGAGTCCGTGTGTTTCAGGGTAAGGGCTCAGACATCCCCGCACTCCTGAAACAAGGCAAGATGGTGCAGTCACCCTGGGTGTCATCAGCAAAGACAGCCTCGTTAGCATCAGGGCCAATCTAAGCCACGTGTCAGGGTAGCAGGTTCGTTTTGCTCTTGCCAGTTACTTTGTTCATGGAATTAACTGTAAGGACTGAACAGAGGCAGCGACTAAGAGTACCTCGTAGGCTTGAGCCGGATGTGCCGGTGATACATTGCGCCCGAGAGCAGGACTGATCACAACCACGGCTGAAGTTCTCACTCTAGAAAAGAAGCCAGGTGCTACAGGAGCAGCTGTATCGATCTCAGCACGACTCACTGGAGCACAGTAGAGAACAAAGCGCTCAGTAGGTCAGTAGGGATTAGGAATTATGCGTCCTACTGAGAAAATGCAATCAGTCCGAGCGGAGCGTCACAGCAGAGACTGCACTTAGGCAGACTTGGTGCTCGGTAACTTCTTTCCCAAGCAGCAGAGTCACTGCTTCTGCCTCGGTGGACAGACCGTCCCGATCTCAGCGCACTGAGATGTCACAGAGGACCTGTAGGACAGAGGGATAATCAACCAGCCAACCAAACTGCTACCAATTGTGTCCCAAGAACCCAGTCTTGAGGCTGAAAATCCTGTGCTCATGTGCAGGTGCTTGGAGCAGCTCTGCTTGGCACCTTGCTTGTATTTATACACACACACACATACATACGCACACACACATATATGTATACATATAGGTTTGTTTTGTTTTGCCATAGGGCATGTGCACTCACCAGTGACGGAGAGGGAAAGTGAGAAATCATCTCCCCAGGGGATGGCCACACTGCGATCCCTTCTCCTCCATTCTTCTCTTGGGATTTTGGGCACCACACATGCACCTGATTATGTTTTTCCGGTCACTGGGTCTGGGACTCGAACCATGCAGTCAGCCATGTGGAATCCAGCACCTTAACCATCACACCACCTGCTGGCCCCACCTTGTTTATATCTGACCCGCTGAGAAATGGAAGCCTGTGGAAAAGCATCCCTTCCTTGCAATATTCTGTTTAGTTAGGATCAGCTAGACAGGTCTTGCACCAGACATCCGCTTTCACATACTGGAAGCATCATGCCCTGACAGTATGAGATTGCCTGGGATAAAAGGTGGTGGTGGCGGCGGAGTTCTAATATAAACTTGCTTAGATTATGCCTGATGGTTTGTGAGCACATCTGAATCCTGTTGATCTCCCTGTGTACAAACATCTTTCTATAACTATCAGGCTGAGTCAGTTAATCGGCTACTGCCTTCCAAAAGACAAAGTGATAAGAGTTCCTAGATTTGGGACAAAAGATAAAGTTTTTAGTTGCCCAATGAATAAAATCAATTTGGGTTGGAATGGTCACATGGCCCTACTTCCTGCCGTGCAAAGGTTCCCTGTGGTTCCGCTGATAGAAAGCATTTGCACACAGGACTCAAATTACTGTTTGTCCCGAAAAGGTACCAATAATCTGTACACTTGCAGCAAAATGTGAACAAATATATTTAGATATATTTAAAAGAATTTAAAAAACATTTCACAAAACATTTGTTGCCATAGGAAGTATCTTTAGCAATAAATGCCCACATCAAAATTTAAACATTATTCCAAGTATGATTATCTGTGCTAAGTTACTCAACAAATCACGTGAACAGAGTCGGTACATTTCCCTGCAGGAATCACTTCCTTCCTGGGATTGAAGCTGTCCCAGACGTTTTTCCAGGGGACCAATTAAGAAACTGCTATTTTCAGAGCAACAAAAATAAAAGCTTTTATTTGTTCATTTGAATATAAAACAGGCGTTATCACAGATGTACAAAGCGTACTGGTGGTTTAACATACAAGAAGGTTGCTGTCCTTTGCACATAAAAATTCTGTTTGAAACTGTGATTGGTTGAGTACATGGATTTCTCTAACCCGTCACCACACTCTGAAATAACGCTGCTAACATTCAACTGATAGAAGGGACCGTTCTCCCTTGGGTAAAGTGTCAAGCAGGATTAAATATATATAATAAACAAGCACCATGAGGAATCTGCTCCTGTTGATTAGGTCTGTGTTTAGACGTTCGTTGTGTGCCCTCTTTTTGTGCAAGTTGATTACACGGTTCTGTCTGACTTCAAAAGCACAAGGTCACAAGACAAGCATTTTTTACATTCTCATGAATGATTTATCTACAGTACAGTTTCTAATACAGAACGATCCTTCTTTATTGCTGAAACTGGTGGTACTTAAGAGTCTCCTTTCCTTCTCTTGCATAACCACACTTCGATCCCAGCCCACCAACTTGTTTGAACCTAAACTCTGACATCAGAGGTGGCAGGGTGCAGCAGAGACCGGCTGCGAACTGCTTTCACGACTGCACTGCAGCGTTTACCCTCCTCAAATGTCAGGTTGATATGGTGAAGGTTGACGTTATGTCTGCAGCGGTCTCTAAATTTGTTTAGCTTCCCAACATCTGCTGGACTTCACGAGTTGTCCTGCACACTGTCATGCTTTTATAATCAGTTTCTCATCTGAAACCTTAAACCTACTTCCCCTTAAACAGGGTGTGTGTGTAAGAAAACGTCTTTAAGAAAAACAAAATCTGTGTGTGGTGGGTTTTATTCCCCCTTAGGAAGCAGAAGGCTGTAGGAATGTATATCTGAAGCATGTGGAGAAATATTCATACACAGCAATAAAATCAAACGGTATTTTAAAAATCAAATGAAGTGTGGCGATGGAAGGATGTACCACATATGCAGACAAGTTTTTAACAATGCGCCACTTAATTTTTTTTTTTTAAACAATCAGCCTTGGATCTCAGAAGTCAAACAAAACTCTCTTTTAGCAAAGGGCTTACTGCTGGCTGCGTATAGCATGGGCAAAGACACTGCCTACAATACAATGAAAAAGAACCTAAACTTTGCCCAGCGACAATCTTAGTCATGCATTTCTAGTACCGAGAGCCATTGCAGGATCATACCGGGGCAGTTACAAAGGGGATCCCCGTTGGACTGATGACACCTCCCCTTCTTGGCTGGATACAGATAGGCCAATTCAATTTAGAAGTGCACAGATGAGCTCTGAAATGAAAAGGAGTGTGAGGAGCTGCTGCAGAGACAGAAACGAGGGGCACGGTCATCCACAGGTGGTAACATGATGCAGCGGGGAGGGCTTCTTGCTCCGGCAGAGTTCTGTGAACCCCCTGGTGGGGTTTGCTCCTGGTCAAGCTAGGGTACCCGAGAGACCAGAGGCTCCCACAGACAGTTGGGTCTTGAGACAAGAGGGCGATTGCCTATGTGGGCCTTTTCCTTTAAAAGCTTTTCTGGACAACTTGTCCACTACACACAGTGGCCATCTGAGGGGGAAGCAATGCAACTTGGTGCAAATGACCACAGAGTATCATTCCTTTTCATACCAACGACCAAAAATAGGGGACGGGAACAAAAACGATGAAAAACATTGTACAACAAATTCTTGCAGCTAAGAAAACAGTGCTGTTTGCCAACCTTGAGCCTCCCTCGGTGGAGCCAGCGCATGCTGGCGTAAACGCATTTGCTGTTGTCCCCCCAGCAAAGGAGAAAGGAAGTGCACGTATAGCTTTAAATTCCTTCACCATCTTTGAGACGGCAATAATTTCACTTGCTGGTCTCTGGGTCTAGAGGAATACTCTGGAACGGGGTACTGGCCATCGGCGGTTGCTCGAACAGCGAGGTGTATGTGAGTGCAGTGCGGGGCACACCATGCAAGTGACAAGTTCTGCATTTAAACTTTAAAATCTCCTTTTCTTGTTAGTGAATTTATATTTCATATATATATATCTGTTGTGATACTATCCACGCAAGATAATACAACACTTTTTTATATTAGCAAACATTACAAGACTTTAATATTCTTGAATGTTTTTCTTTTTTATACTTCTAAAGAGATCAAAATAAATTAAACGTTTTGTACATAATTACATATTGAGGAAGTTAACTTATTTTATCTTTTTAGTTTAGTACAAAGATATTTGCAAGATAATTGCCGAAATACACCTTATTTATAATTTCTTCTCGTTCTATCTAACTCCAAAGGCCATACATGAGCCTTTGTTTCTTCAGCACATTTCTGACAAAGAAAGCTGCTAAAATCTAATTGGAAGGTGCTAGGTGGAAGGTTTTCTCGTACCTCAATAAACTTTCCTAAAAGGATGAGATCTAGCAATGGCTTAAATTAGTAACAGATCCATGTCATTAAGATTTTATGACACATTAAAACAGAGAAAACGATTCTTTGTCACACTACATAAATTGTTTAAAAGAACCCATTTGGAGGGCAGAATATTTTTTTAATTGCTATTTCGGCTTAACAAAATACCACATTTACGAAGAAAGCACTTATCCAATAATTAAAAAAAAAAAGAAAGAAAAAAAGAAAAGTTTTGAAATGGGCTTTTCCAACAAACTGAAGGCAGTAAGTAATCCGAAGTCCTTCTGAGCAAAATTCAGTGGTAAATTCACATTTCGTCTCCATGCCAACCGTGACCGCTGAGAAGTCCTCCTCTTCCTCCGTCCACTCGGAAGGCGCCACTCTGGCGAATGCTGCCCTTGTGTCTATACGTGTCAGTGGACACTGAGAAAAATGTTTACATCTCTAGAAAAGTCCTCGGAAGCCAAAGAGACAAGACTACATGTTGTAGGCCACATAGATGGGGTCCAGCTGGTCTGCCAAGAAGCCGTCCCGTAGGTGCATTCGCTGCTTCTCTCCACGGGAGTTGATGGGGATGACGCCGATGTCCACCACGACCACCACACCCACGATCAGGTAGTGCTCCTCCAGGACCACGTTCGTCACCAAGGGAACCAGGTCCAAGGCTTCTTGCTCTGACCCATCAAGCTCAACCACAACCACCAAGAGATTTGTCCAGGTAAACACAGCACTGAAAGACAGAAAAGAAAGCCAATATCACATGGCGAGTCTTATATTTAGCGATTACATTTTCTTTCTGAAAGTTCCATTTGGTTCGCTTTGGATCTGCCTGGGCTCTCCCAACAGCCTGTGACTTGCTGGTCTCTGAGTCTGCCTCCCGTCACTCATGAGCCGTTCCACACCTGCCTTCCTGGCGACCTCACCTCTCTCAGCACTTTCTACAGCCTTCTCTCACTGTGGCTTCTGTGAGTGCTTCATGATCTCTGTCAGCTCTTGCTTCTAGGGGACAGGGGGCTAGCTCTGCTTCATTAGAGGAGTCTTTGTTCCAGTTTGGGCTTTTCTGCTGCCTAGAGGTCAAACCCTCCACCTCAGGGCGCAGTGCACCATCAGCATCTGCCCTTGGAGCCACCCTGGCCTTATTTCCAGCTCCTGCTCTGCTGCAGGCAGAGGTGCATGTGATGGTGGAATGCGTCCTGAGCTCTCTCCCCCATCCGTGCTCTGTGCCCTTAAGGGTGACTCGTGTTTCCCTGCCTGTAAGCTTGGCTCAGCATGCAGCCTGGTGCCTGTGTCAGTGGGTGGTGTCAGCAGAGGCCCAAGCACTGCTGGGGTACCCGCTTGTCCTGACTTTCCCTTGCCTGAAGAGGATGCTGCTTGGCTAGCTCTTGGGTGCCAGGGGACAAGGGCATGCAGAATAAACAGCGTTTTCCAGCCCATCACCTGCAGACATAGGGCACTAAGTACGGCGGGATGGGACTGTAATGCAGCATTAGCTAGCCCAGATGAGAGGTGAGACTTTGAGAAGGTAGGACATTCATCCAGAAGGGTCTTGTTTGGGATCTAGTCATCCTCCGGCAGGAAGAGCACCAGCATTTCTGGGCTTTCCAGGAGGTGGAAGCGCAAACCTAGCACTTCATACTTTAAACGGCATTCACCTCAGAGAGCTGGCTTTTATGATGGGATCTTTATGGGTGCTCATACCCACAGACCATGGTGCTCAAGGCCAGCTAGGCTGCAAAGGTTGGCAGGGTCCCCAGCCTGCAGAGAACAGGACCAGGCTCCAGGGCCATGCTATCTGCTCTCTAGACGACAACGCATTCATCCCAGCGGGGGCAGTTTGTACTTTGGGAAACTCATTCTTGCTTTCTATTAGAAAAAGTACACGCTTTATTCAGGAAGCCCACTAAACGAGGCGAGTTTCCCGTATCCAAAATGCTTAAGACTAGACTTCTTTTTGATTTCAGATTCCTTTTATTTTGGAATATGTGCATAAATAATAACATGCCTTGGGAACAGGGGCCAAGTCTAAACATGAAATTCATTTATGGTTCATGTACACCACACGCACAGCCTGAAGGGAATTCTATATAATATTTCAAGTAATTTTGGGCATGAAACAAAGTTCGGTGACACTGACCCACCAAAAGGACAGGGGCCACTGTCTCAGTCATCTCCAATTTTCCGCCCATGACATCATCCCAGTGTTCAAAAAGTTGCAGCCTTTGGAGCACTCTGAATTTCAGATTAGGGGTGTCCGACGTGTGTGTGTTGAAACGAGGGGGAAATGGGAGGATGTGGGTACTAGTTCTCTCCTGGACTGGGCTTTGTGATGGTTACACCCCTCCGGGAACAGCCCTGCAGAGGACTGTCTCCATTACAACGTCATACTGTGCTTAATCCCCATGAAACGGCTCCTCTAACCCTAAAATATTGCACTATGGGGCCCGTGTGAGCCCATACGGTGAGTCTGCGATATCCCAGGGCACGTGGGGCTTGCACGCACTGTTGGTAGCATTTTATCACGGCATTAGAAATTCATGGCATTTCCCTGAAGTCTCAGGAATCAGTCCGGCTCCCCATTACTGAAGTAAGTGAAAGGTGCACATGCTGTACTGTCACCCCTGGGTGTGCCAGGAAGCTATGCGACGGATGCTGGCGACTTCCTGCCAGAGCTTTCTTACGGCCTTATGTGTTGTTTTAACACCAAAAATCAGCTGTTGAGAAATGCGAACATTTGGGTGCCTCACACTTGGCAACATAGAAATGGTCACATTCCACAACATCGGGTGTCAAACCCCGTCTCTGTGGGAAGTGACTGGGGGACATGAAGGCAGGGAGCAGGCGAGGGGGACAGAGATAAAAGGACAGAGCAGTCTGTGCCCGAATCGCTCCTAACGCAGGGAAAGTCCGCCACAATCGGCTCCACTCGCGTCTCTTTTCCCCAGCACCCCACGTGGACAAGGCGAATGTGAGGCGCTCCCCTGACAAGGGGAGGGTACACTCAGGGCAGTGACAGTGCTTAGAATGAAGGCAATCGTGGGCTGGAAAGTCAGAGAGGCATCAGGGCAGCCCGCCCCAAAACGCACTGTGAAGATGGAAACTAGACAATGCTTGAGGGAGGTGAGAAAGCCAATTAAAATTATTTTCTTAAAAATACAGAAATAGAAGGCTGTAATTGATCTTTACAGCTATGTAGATGGAAAATGTGGGAGGCCCTGTGCCTAGTTTCTGGCTATCTTTCTACGGGTCCTGTTCTGTTATCTCTTTCTTCCCTTCTCTACACTTAAGTAGAAAGGCAGCTTAGACAATCTGAGGAATGTGTGTGTGAGTTAGTAGAGAGAGAGAGTGAGAGTGAGTGTGTGTGTGTGTGGGGGTGGGTGGGCTTAGCGAATCTGAACCACAGGACAACTTATAGGTATGCAAACTCACTGTTCTGTGGAGGGCAATAAATACCAGCTCTCCTGCTGCAAACCAATTAGCTTTGAGAAGAATGAACAATTTCAGAACCAAGCCACTCAACCAAGAAAAACTGCTCAGAGAGATTTCAGAATATGCTCCACTCAAGGGTTCCAACCTCAGATGGAGATTGGCTTCATCAGGTTCATTGCCAGGCCTCTCAGTAAGGACTTTGTCACCAAATGAATGAGCAAACTTCACACTGACAGTGTTGCCTTGGTTTCCATTCTTCTACCCTCAGAGACCTAGAGTGAACCTGAGAAAACCCCAAGCACAGGCTGACTTACCCACAGCACTCCAGCCTCCAGGTGAACCCCTGATGCTAGGAGCACTGGTGAGCGAGCGGCTAGGAAACCCTGCCTCGGTTTCTTACAAAGCTCCATAAACACACTCGACACTTACAACAGGTGAAATGGCCGAGGGAGGAAGATAAAGCCCCTGTCTCTGGAGAGGCTGAAAGAGGGTGAAAACACCATACCTTGGGTCCTAGCCACTTGGAGCACATGCAATGGGCATGTTGCCACTGTTGGCTTTGGGTTCATTCAAGCAATTCTTCCTTGAGAATGTCTCAGTGAAGTGCGGTCACACTGCCTCCTTGCATCTAATGTTTTCCCACATATCACTTTGCAATTCCCATGTGGACGGTCATGAAAGTATTTCCACGCCTATGGGTATGTGAAGTTTAGTCTTTTCTATATTGTGCTTTCATAAATTAGGTAAATAGCAACGGTCTTCCTGGAAAAGGTTATCAAGTAGTTTTCGGGGCAAGAAACGCCTGTCAGTTTTAGGTCATGTCCAACACCCTCACTCTAGCCGAGAGCTCTTTCATGGCTGTTAACCCAACCAACTGCCCAATCAGCTCCTGTCTCTTACCAACTCTCCTCCCCACATGCCTTCCACATTCCAGAACTTCACAAAGTCTGCTCCTGGCTAGTGTGGATACACTTTGCCCCCACCACTCACCACTCTGTCACACTTTTGTGGGCTCTGATGACGGAAGTCTCGATGTCTATGGGGTGGTACCTCATACCCCGCAGCTCCATGGCTTCATCCAAGGCCCCCACCACATACAGGGCATCATGGCGCTCTGTGGGAACGAAACATGAGTTCACTGCAAGGCTGCTCACGGCACTTCCTTTTCATCGATTAAAACTCCTTGCGTGAGGCAGATGTTGCTGATGTGGGGACAGCCTCTTGCCTCCTACTAGGGCAGAAGCCCTAAGTCCCCCCAATACACCCAGTGGGCCATCCTTCTATGCCTCTGTACCATCGGGAAACAGTGATCTTTTCTTGGACTAGCTCCTGTCCACAGCCAATACATGATCACAAACTCCTCAGAGGAAACTAAGGGACCGAGCTGGTTCCGGTTAGTACTAGTCAGGACCTAGTAGCCTGAGCACTGGCAGCAGCACAGCCCCGAAGACTTCACCTGGACACATGGCCAGAACCAAACCCATTCCTTCGGCCTCTACCCACTGTGTTCTTTGCTGTGTGACTGACCCCATGTGTGAGTGGAAAAAGAAAGCAGAGTTTCTGGTCATCTTCATGATGGCAGACTTCCTTGGCTCATGGAGTCATGATATTTATTTTTATTCCTCTTGCAAATTTTAGAATGACAATAACCACATGTGGCCAGTCTTCTTCCCTTAAAAATAAGGAACTATATCCTTAATTTTTATACGACAGTAAGTATAACAGAGTAAATTTGAAAGAAATGATCAGCACATTAAGTAACACTGGAAAAGAAATCTTTTCTAATCTAAGTCGGATTTAAAAGATGGAGACTTTCACTTGTTGCTACCTGCCCGTCACTGAGCAGAGTGTCAGCTCCTCTCTGTGGGGGATTCAGGAAAGTGAGAAACAGCAATGACACCCCACTGTCCCTGCTCCCAGGAAGCAGCAGGACAGGACTTTCCAGACTTCCCTGAGGTATCCATTGCCACCGACTTTCAGGTCCCCAAATTCAGCTCTTTGCCGGAACCCTGGGAACACACTTACATCAGCTAGTCTATGCCTGCCCAAACTGCAAATGCCAGGCCAGGGTATTTTTGTACTTTCCCTGTATATTTAGCTCCTGGTGGGCCAGGTTGGTGTAGGTGTGTTAGACAGTGAAGTGAGGAAGCCTCACTGACGTCTAGAAACTCATCTCCCAGGGGTTCTGGTCGGGCAGGATCTCACCAAGAATCCCAGCTACTATTCCTGTGAGATATCCAAGTCCTGCCTATATTTTTAGCAGAACTAAGAGGAAAGGATTCTGAGATTCTGGCATCAGCCAACACCTAAATAAACAAGTGTCCTTTTTTATCTTGGCTCTATGAGACATGGCCGTCTTGCCCCAACCTTAGATGGGGGCCATGGTAGCAGAAGCCCACCTTGCTGCTCCATAGCAGGTACACTTGCTGCTCCTGAGTCACAGGCCCCCTGCACCGCTGAGCGCATGGCAGAGCCAGCCAGCTGCCTGCTGGGCCAAGCCTCATGGGTGCCCCCTTCTGGAGAGGTGCAAACCCAGTTCTGGAAGGGGCAGATGCAAGTTCCTACAGATGCAGGTCCTGTCTCTGTCTTAGATGGGTCACCCATTTGGAGCGAGCAATCCTTGGAGCAGTAAGCAGAGACAGCAGCCGTGACTTAAGGGCATTTCATGTGGGAAACGCCAAGCCTTCTGCTTAGTGCCCAGGCTCCTCCCTGGTTTTTAGGAGAAGACAAGGTAAACAGCTTCAACTTAGGGGACACTAGTATTTTACCTTCCTCTCTTTCTTCGTATGTATGTATGTAGAGGTTTTTGCCTTAGGGTATGTATGCTCACCAGAGAAAGAGCGAGAGACAGAGACAGTGAGAGGGTAAGTGAGAAGTAACTCCCCAGGGGAGATGGCCATATTGCAATCTGTTCTCCTCCATTCTCTTCCCAGGATATTGAGTACACATGCACACGCGCCCGGCGTGAGTTTTAAGCTGCTAGGTCCAGAACTCGAACCATGGTCAGCATGTGGGAGTCCAGCGATGTAACCATTACACCATTTGCTGCCCCTCCCCCCTTTTAAACTCAGTTCTGCTCAGGCACATCCACGTCTCAGACACGTTTTCAGCATCTAGGCACCGACCACTCTGCCTGGGCTGTGTGGGGCCGCCAGCCTGGATTCTCACCTCCGTTTGCATCTGTGAGCTCAGTTCTCCGTAGGAACCCCAAGTAGCCTGTTCGTGCCCAGATGGTCTGGGTGTCTCCAAAACTTAACCTGGAGTTGAAATGATCTGACTGGAGAGATTCGTCTCCATAGATTGTGAAGTAGCCGCTGGCGTTGTGGGCGCTGTGAACCCAGATCTGTGAAAGGAGGGAAATGTCACTGTGCGTGCGTTAACCGAGACCACCGCTAGGACAGTGAGACTGAGAGTGCTTTTTCAATTCAGTAAACTGAGTTCCACTGGGCTGCGTAAACAAGGTGATGTTAATCTCATTCACTTTTTTGGGAGACACGTAAAAACCCACAGTGTACTGAATTTACAAAGGTACCATACCAGGTTCACAGCAGGTGACTGACCAAGTCATTCATTTATCAAGACTTTTATTAAAGTGGATTAATTGAAGATTTCAGAAATAAATACATCAAATGAACAATGTCATACTGACTTCCTGGTTTCTTTTTCCAAATGATTGTTTCAAACTAACAATTGGGATAAATGTTAAAAAGATTTCTTTTTCTCTTTTAGCCAATTAGGATTCTTTTGGAAGTATGTTGCGATAAAACAATAGAACAAAATATTAGGTCATCATTAAAAGTCATGACACATTTTTTGCATAAGAAAACATGGAAAAACCTGTCATGACTTTTCTGACAACCTACTATAAGGAGGAAAGGCATGCAACACCAAAAGACGGGAAACAAGAATGGTGAATGTCTCACATTTGGGGCAATGGTGAAGCCAAGGCTGATCTGCTGGTGCAAAGTGAAGACTGTATGGTTTATGCAGAATCAGGGGAAAGACTGGAGCAAAGTTAAGCTGATCATATTCTCAAGGCACCCCTGCAGCTGCATGCAGCCATGTCTATATGATGTGGGTCAGAAGAATAGGGATTTACAGCCTACTGAGTCTTTATAATAGACATTCTGGGATTGGCATTTTCAATTTATTTTTACTTTTTTATTATTTTATTTGCACTGTTCTTTGAAGTCAGAAACTCTGTCTCGTTTACCACTGTCCCTCTGGTCCCCAAAATAGTGCCAAGTACACAGCAGGCACCCCAAAAAGTACCTGCAGCACAAACGAAAAAGCAGAAAAAGAAACTGCACCATCAAATGAGGACAATGGTAACTGCTCTCTGCTCTGTAACACACAAAAATTTCCTCATTAAGATAATGGAATATTGGGGACCAGCAGGTGGTGTGGTGGCTAAGGTGCTGGACAATCCCACATGGTCAACTATGGTTCAAGTCCTGGACCTGGTGGCTTGCTTTCTCATTTGCTCTTTCACTCTCTCTGTGTCTCTCTGGTCAAATTAAAATGAATGAATGAATAAATAAAATGAAGTAATTCTTTAAAAAATGAAAATGGAAGCATTGTTCAGTCTTTAAAAACAAAAATAGATGGCAATCCCACCACCAGTGACGACATGATGAACCCGGAAGACATGACACTAAGGAAATAAGCCGGGCACAGCAAGACACATACTGCACGATCTCACTCACATGTGGGCTCTGAAAGACTGAGCTCACAGAAGCCGAGAACGCGGTGGGTGGGTACCAGGGACTGGAGGGGAAAATCAAAAGGTACAGTCCCCCAGTTCTATGATGAGTACATTCTGGGGAACTAGTGCACAGCAGGTGCCTGTCATGAATAACATAGCACTGCACTGTTTATTGGTAATTTGGTAAGAAAGCCTAAATGTTCCCATCATTAAAAACTGAAAAGGTAACTGTATGAGGTGTTGTGTGTGCTGTCTTGCTTGTAGCCGTCATGCCACAAGATAGACATCAGCATCAAAGCACCACATTGGACACACTTCATACAACTTTGTCAATTACGTCTCGATAACGCCAGGGTGGAAAAGATGCACTCTCAGTGTGAAAATCAACTTGTAAACGTTAGCATCTCTGGTTGCCCTTGGAGTAATGAGAACTGGAAGCTCAGCTCTGCCTGGTCCTCGCTCGCTATGCTCAGCTCCAAGGCTGAGGCCACCAGTTGGGCCCCTCTCCAGGTGTTCTGAGCAAGCAGTACAGTTCTGTTCCCAGGAATGTATTTAAAGGAATTCTGAATTATGAGCTGCATAGGATTTAGCCACCTCAGCACTGAGGGTCACCAATGACAGAGATTCCAGGGAAGGACCAGAAAACAGACCAAGAAGAAAAGGACTGTGAGGAGAGATGCACTGGTGCTGGGGACACTGGTGATGCTTCTAAGATGATGTCACTTCTTCCTTTATAAAAATAATTACTTATTTTATTTATTATTTTTCAGTCTGACCAGAGAGAGACAAAGAAAGGGAGGGAGGAAGAATGACAAAGCAAGCCACCAGATCTGGGACTTAAACCATGGTCAGCCATGCGGAAGTCCAGCACCTTAACCAACACGCCACCTGCTAGCCCCAAGAAGATGTCACTTCCAACAGCACGTTTCTCACATGTGCTGGTAAGAGCTCTTCAGGAACAAGGGCAACCTGGTGAGGCAGGAGAGACGATGACCCCAGCGACAAGGTTATCACGGCAAGATGGGCTAGACCCCGTGCACCTGCAGGTTTTCCTTGGTTGGCCAACAGGGGGCAGTGGGCCTGTGTTGCACCATGTGAGGAGGCTGGGACTCAGGACCCAGGCTTCCCTGATACCCTCCACACCCTAAGTGGAAGGAGCCATTTAGAGAAGAATGAGGAGAAAGGAGGAGGTGAGATACTTGATCTCACCAAGGCAGATCTGAGATTAGATTAAGAATTTAGATAAGGGCTGGGCAGCACAGTAGCATGTCTGTTTTCAACCAGATTTAACCTACAATATTTTGGGATGGGTGTCAGAGAAGGTGGGGTTTCATCATAAATATAATTAAGCAAAAGTGTGAAATACCACTGTTGACTTTCCGAACGGAAATACATATGTAACTATCATTTCTCTAATCTGTCTGCTAGTGTTTATTGATGCTTCTTTAATTTGAGGTTGAAGTATCCATTCCTTTTGTTGCTTCTCTGTCATTTCCCTGATGAAGGACTTCTCCATAATGAAGGCAGGTCCATGGAAAACAGATTCAAGAGCTAAGAAATAAGGAAACCCGGTTCGCACACATGAAGTTTTCTATCTTTTCTGAGTACCTTGGAGAGAACTATCATATCTACTCCAGGAGATCCTATTTTGTAGTTCTGCACTTTCAAGGAATCAGACAAGCAATAAAGCTCATCTCAAGTTATTCCCAGCCAATCCCGACTCCCTCAGCATACCCTGAGCACGTGCTGCAGGTCAGGGGTGTGCACGCAGTTCTTCCTGGTGTCAGGAAAGACAACCTGCAGGACACTCCTTACAGGGGACGCTGCATCTTACCTCTCCAAGGTGTGAGTCGCCCAGCGGTCCTTTCGTTTCGGGGTTGGCAATTATGATCCGAACTCCCGGAAGTATCTGTGTGGGAGGGAAAACACTCTTGTCAAAGCACAGATGAACAGAGTTGACACACCTCAACTTCAGCTTGCCTTTACCCCACACGTGCCGATTTCCTCTTAAAGATCGGTTGGGATGTAGTATGGCATTATGGCTTTAAGTCAAAATTATATACCATTACAGAGTACAGCACAACAATGACCTTTTCATTGCTACTGTTACTACCATGATGTTAAAGTGACCTTAAAATAAAGAATTTTGACTGTAAATCATACCTCAGTGAAGCTGCTAAAAAAGAAAACTGCTGGAAATCATAGTAAAAAAAGAATTTTGAACAAAAATAGGACAGTATAATAATTTTAAAAGAATTATTTAATTTTATTTATTACTATTAGTGTTCTTTTTAAACTTTGCTATAGGACACAAGCACTCACCAGAGAGAGACAGAAAGAGAGAGAAAGTAAGAAAGCAAGCTGCCAGGTGTGGGACTCAAACCACGGTTGGCTATGTGGGAATCCAGCACTTTATTGCCACACCGCCTGCTGGCCTTGGATGGTATAATATTTAATGCAGCCTTGCACTTACACAATAGAAATTTTCAGTTATTTCAGTGACTTGATTTACATTCAAGTTAATATCATGCCTCACATGATAGTTAGGTGACGTCTGGAAAAATCCTTGAACTAAGGGAGTCACAGGGTGGAATTTTCAGAGGTGAGTGTAACCCAATCCAATGCAGCAGAAAGTTGCTTCGGGGTGCAGTGGGGAGGACAGAAGTCAAAGATTCTGTGTCTACTTCTAGCACCGCGTGCTGGGGTCTGAACAGAAGGTCCTCCGTCTTCTCTCAATGATGTTTTCAACTTACACTACTGTGGGACTTTTCCCTGCAGGTATCTTTTATTGTAATCTGATATCGTGCCTCTCCTTTTAAAAATATTTTGAAGGTTTACTTCCTCTGAGACAGTGACAAACACACACACACACACACCTCTGGCCTCAATTGGCCCAGATTACAGCCACACGTGCAGTACCTGCTGTGCACAGGGCGACCTGGGGTGCAGACCTGGAACATCCCACACGAGCCCAGCACTGCAGAGTGCTGCAGACCATCAGATGACCAGCTGCTCTCAGGTATCCCCTCCTTAATGGAAGCTTAGCTTAGATATGTTCTGAATTCCACCGATAGCACACGTGTAAGGAATCAAAAGTTCACTGAAAATCTCGAGTGCAGCTTGCCTTTGCTCAGCTAATTTAAGGCAAGACATCTTATGGTACCAGCACAAAACCTTTGGGACAGCTAAGCTGTACTGAAGCTTGAAGTGAGGTTTGGCAGCTCTGACCTGGGAAGGACCTACTAGTCCCCCAGACTGTGTTAGGGTAGGTGGGGAGCATCTTCCTACCATCGGAGTCAACTGTATGAAGAATTCTACAGTCATACAGATACAGGTTTTAAAAAAGGTCCAGAAACAATACAAGATGCCTTTAGAATTATGACAAGTTAAGAATGATCTGATGATTGGGGAAAAAAAAAAGGTCTTCATTTCAACATGTTTCCTTCATGTCCCTAATTTAGTTCCATAAAAAGCGTAACCAGAGCGGTAGAAACTAGTAGTTTCCCCTAATAATCCTTCTTCATAGATTTTCATAGTAAAAATCAAATACCCTGATTTTTTTTTTTTTTTTTTTTGTCAGGCACGTCAGCTATTGA